TTTTATTGCCTCACGATCTTGCAAGGTTTATAATCTGAGTTTATGCTGCACTTGCAATGTTGCACATTGCTCACTTTATAGGAAAAATATTTAATACTGACAATGATGATGATACTAATAATAAAATAATAATGATAATAATAATATTAACAATAATAATAATAATAATAATAATAAAAATAATAATAATAATAATAATAATAATAATAATAATAATTAACAGTAATAATAGTAATTAAATAACAATAATAATGATTAATAATAATAATAATTGCATTAATTCTTGCAGAGTGACTGTTACATTACTTGTTGCAGAGAGTGACTGTTACATTACTTGTTGCAGAGAGTGACTGTTACATTACTTGTTGCAGAGAGTGACAGTTACATTACTTGTTGCAGAGAGTGACTGTTACATTACTTGTTGCAGAGAGTGACAGTTACATTACTTGTTGCAGAGAGTGACAGTTACATTACTTGTTGCAGAGAGTGACTGTTACATTACTTGTTGCAGAGAATGACAGTTACATTACTTGTTTCAGAGAGTGACTGTTACATTACTTGTTGCAGAGAGTGACAGTTACATTACTTGTTGCAGAGAGTGAGAGTTACATTACTTGTTGCAGAGAGTGACTGTTACATTACTTGTTGCAGAGAGTGACTGTTACATTACTTGTTGCAGAGAGTGACTGTTACATTACTTGTTGCAGAGAATGACAGTTACATTACTTGTTTCAGAGAGTGACTGTTGCATTACTTGTTGCAGAGAGTGACAGTTACATTACTTGTTGCAGAGAGTGACTGTTGCATTAATTGTTGCAGAGAGTGACAGTTACATTACTTGTTGCAGATAGTGACAGTTACATTACTTGTTGCAGAGAGTGACTGTTACATTACTTGTTGCAGAGAATGACAGTTACATTACTTGTTTCAGAGAGTGACTGTTACATTACTTGTTGCAGAGAGTGACAGTTACATTACTTGTTGCAGAGAGTGACAGTTACATTACTTGTTGCAGAGAGTGACAGTTACATTACTTGTTGCAGAGAATGACAGTTACATTACTTGTTTCATAGAGTGACTGTTACATTACTTGTTGCAGAGAGTGACAGTTACATTACTTGTTGCAGAGAGTGACAGTTACATTACTTGTTGCAGAGAGTGACTGTTACATTACTTGTTGCAGATGAGTGACTGTTACATTACTTGTTGCAGAGAGTGACAGTTACATTTACTTGTTGCAGAGAGTGACAGTTACATTACTTGTTGCAGAGAGTGACAGTTACATTACTTGTTGCAGAGAGTGACAGTTACATTACTTGTTGCAGAGAATGACAGTTACATTACTTGTTGCAGAGAATGACAGTTACATTACTTGTTTCAGAGAGTGACCGTTGCATTACTTGTTGCAGAGAGTGACTGTTACATTACTGGTTGCAGAGAGTGACAGTTACATTACTTGTTGCAGAGAGTGACAGTTACATTACTTGTTTCAGAGAGTGACAGTTACATTACTTGTTGCAGAGAGTGACAGTTACATTACTTGTTGCAGAGAGTGACAGTTACATTACTTGTTGCAGAGAGTGACTGTTACATTACTTTTTGCAGAGAGTGACAGTTACATTACTTGTTGCAGAGAGTGACAGTTACATTACTTGTTGCAGAGAGTGACAGTTTACATTACTTGTTGCAGAGAGTGACAGTTACATTACTTGTTGCAGAGAGTGACTGTTACATTACTTGTTGCAGAGAGTGACAGTTACATTACTTGTTGCAGAGAGTGACAGTTACATTACTTGTTGCAGAGAATGACAGTTACCATTACTTGTTGCAGAGAGTGACAGTTACATTACTTGTTTGCAGAGAGTGACTGTTACATTACTTGTTGCAGAGAGTGACAGTTACATTACTTGTTGCAGAGAGTGACTGTTACATTACTTGTTGCAGAGAGTGACAGTTACATTACTTGTTGCAGAGAGTGACTGTTACATTACTTGTTGCAGAGAGTGACAGTTGCATTACTTGTTGCAGAGAGTGACTGTTACATTACTTGTTGCAGAGAGTGACAGTTGCATTACTTGTTGCAGAGAGTGACTGTTACATTACTTGTTGCAGAGAGTGACAGTTACATTACTTGTTCCAGAGAGTGACAGTTACATTACTTGTTGCAGAGAGTGACTGTTATATTACTTGTTGCAGAGAGTGACAGTTACATTACTTGTTGCAGAGAGTGACTGTTACGTTACTTGTTGCAGAGAGTGACTGTTACATTACTTGTTGCAGAGAGTGACAGTTACATTACTTGTTGCAGAGAGTGACTGTTACATTACTTGTTGCAGAGAGTGACTGTTACATTACTTGTTGCAGAGAGTGACAGTTACATTACTTGTTGCAGAGAGTGACAGTTACATTACTTGTTGCAGAGAGTGACAGTTACATTACTTGTTGCAGAGAATGACAGTTACATTACTTGTTTCAGAGAGTGACTGTTACATTACTTGTTGCAGAGAGTGACTGTTACATTACTTGTTGCAAAGAGTGACTGTTACATTACTTGTTGCAGAGAGTGACAGTTACATTACTTGTTGC